CCTCCCGCAGCTCCCCCCAAACCTTCCAGAGCCTCCCAGCGTCACCTCCTGCCACAGATCCGTCCCTCTGCCTGGATCGATAGGCACGAATGCTGCAGAAAGAGCTACTTGGCTCGGTTTTTTTCCCTGCCATCAGCAATCTGTAGTGTTAATGATTAGTCAAGTCTTCCTGTAGCTGAGCGCTTGAAGGGTGGGAGGACCCTGTGTAAACCTGCACTGAGGTGCTCTGATTTGGCTGGGACATCCCCTGTGCATGCATAGATGTTTGCCCTTGTAATTCCACCCTTTGCAGCCCAGCCTCTCGTCTCCACTGCCGTGGGCTGGTTGCAGATTTCCCTAACCCAAGCCCTGGGTGAGGAACCTGACTGGCACACCAAAGGCTTTCGGCTGGTGCTTCCTCTTCCCCCTTTCAGCCTCTCTCCTCCTCCCATTATACTCCATGCCCAAAATGAGCTGTCTTCTTCACTGGACTCACAGCCCCTTCACGTGCCTTTCCCACAAAATCCACTGAACAAAACCAGCCTTCATCTTCCTCAGGAGATGTGGTTCACCAGGTGACTGCAGCTCAGAGCGACCCAGGAGTCCTGCAGCACCAGCCCCCAGCCATCCCCAACAGTTCTTGCTGGAGAAGCCTCTGAAACACCACGGGGCAGTGCTGGGAGAGAGAGAGGTGGCTGGTTCTCCAACACAGGCACATTCTCCAGGCCTGGGGCTTGAAGCCCTCTGCCTCCTTTCATCTCATGGTGGGCTCAGGTGCTCAGGCAACAAATAAACAAGTGGAGCCCAAAGGAAAAGGTGATGGGGCAATGGTGTCCTTTAGGTCATGTTCCAGGCCAAGCATGGAAGTTAGCATGGGCCATCTACACAATGAGTTCTTCTGGTTGCCTTAAATAAGAGCAACCAGCTGAGGTATTTTGCTGGGAGAAACAGATGGCACCAATAAGGCAGCAAATAAATTCCATGTGCAATGCTTTACAGTTCAGTTGTAATTAACTCTGCACTGCCAGAAGAACTGAAGCCAGAACTGCACATTAATTACACATTAATGTGAACATTCATCTGCTCTTGGCTGGCTAGCTCTCTGGAGACTGTGGCTTTTATTTCACTTTTGCATATGCCAAAGCCACTGTGGCCCAGTGGGACCTGTGTGGAGCCAGCATGCTTGGGCACTTTCCACTGCTCCTCTTAAAAGCCCAGCTAAATCCCAGCAAGGCTGAAAGCAAATTCTGGCAAGTTAACATCCATTTACAACAGCAGGAGGAACGAGGGAAGAGTCTAAAGGGCTCTGGCTGCTCTCAGGAGGCTGTACCCACACACACATCCCACGGCCCAGGTCAAACTCAGCCAGATTGGCAGCAAAAAGCATTCTAGTTCACAAACATCAGAGCAGCAAACCTCCCCTGGGATCAGCCCCTTGCTCCATGTCTCTTCCAGTGGGGACCCCCAGCTCTGTGGGAGCCCCATCTCCTGCCTGGTCTTGGTCCCCCCCAGAAGCCATCATGGTGCTGCACTGAATGATGAACATCACCCCCAAGTCCTCCTCTGTCCCCAAAGAGCAGTTCTGGCAGGGAGCCTTCCCCAGCTGGCTCCCTCACCAGCCCTGTCAGGAAATTCTCTTCCACACACTCCAGGAACCTCCAGGACTGTTCCCTCTCTGCTGTGTTGTATTTCCAGCAGGCATCTGGCAAGTTGAAGTCCCCCATGAGAACAAGTGGTAGGGGTTGTGAGACTTCTCCCAGCTGCTTATAGAATGTTTCATCTGCCTCTTGAGCCTGGTTGTGTGGTCCAAGGGGCTCCCACCATGGCACCTGACTTGCTGGCCTTCCCCTGCTTCTTACCCCTAGACACTCAACCCTATTGTCACCATCATTATGATCAAGATAGTCAAAGCTCAGCCTCACATCCAGGGCTGCTCCACTGCCCCCTCTGCCTGGCCTGTCCCCTCTGAAGAGTTTATAGCCACCCAGTGCAGCACTCCAGCTGTGCCAGTCACCTCGCCACGTTTCTGTGGTGGCAACAATATCATCATTTTCCTGCTCTGCAGGGGGGAACTTCAGCAGAGGGATCTGCTGCACCAGTGCCCAGACATCTGCTGACCCATATTCAGCCACGCTTGTGCTCCTGCACTCCACCCCCACCCGTTGTACGTGGCCAGGATGGATGAGCAGGGCTTGGTGACAGGGGTCAGGCACTGGAACGGGTGCCCAGGGAGGTGGTGGAGGCATCATTGCTTGGAGGGGTTCAAAAAACAAGTAGTTGTAGCAGTTGAGGCTGTGGTCTAGATAGGGAAATGTTGGGATGAAGGTTGGAGTTGATGATCCTAGAGGTCCTTTCCAGCCATGGTGATGCTATGACTCTAAAGATTAGGTAGCAGAAAGCCAGATGCTCCCCTGGAGTGCTGACAGAAAGGGCCACCTCCAAGCCCAGCGTAGCCTGAGGCCTCCAATGAGAGGGTGCTGCTCAGAGGGAGCCTTTGGGAAGTGCCAAAGAGCCAGCATTTTGTGAACTAAACCTCCAAGAGATTTTAATGTGTCCCTTTTCAGGGCCCAGAAGGCAGAGAGGCTGTGCTTGCCTCAAGCAGCCTCACCCCACGCTTGACAGAGAGCAGAGCAACGAGGCTCTGCCACCACACAGCTCCTGGGGAGGCCCCGGGAACAGGGAAAGGCTCCCATCTCCCTGGAGACACCACAGAGAAGCACAGGATGGCAGGGGCTGGGAGACATCTCTGGAGATCTAGTCTGACACCTCTGCTAAATCAGGGTCACCTTGAGCAGGCTGCACAGGATCACATCCAGGGGGAGTTTCAGTATCTCCAGAGGAGACTGCACACAACCTCCCTGGGGAGCCTGTTCCAGGACTCTTGTCACCCTCAGAGGAAAGCAGCTTCTCCTCACATTCAACTGGAACCTCCTGTGTTCCAGTTTGTGCCCCTTATCCCTTGTCCCATCACGGGGCACTACTGAAGAGTCTGGTCCCATCCTCTTGACACTCACCTTTAGATATTGATAACCATTTAGATATGGATCTTACCAATCCTGTGACAGTCCTGTGACATTCTCTCCCTTCCACAGCAAGAGGAAGGTGCTCCCTCTGGGTATTTAAGCCAAGTTTTGTTAGGCAGGAGCTGGGGTTCTCAGGGTGTGTCCCTGCAGTATGAATCCATTCCTGATCCTCCTGCTTCTGCCACTTCACTCAGGGTGCAGAGAGGGTCCTGGAGGTTGGATCTGCAACCCATTGCCTACCAGGGAACACACCTCAAAAAGCCCTTCTGGAACCACTGCCAGAGCAGGGGGACACACAGACTGTTCTGCAATCACACCCACAGACACAGCCCTAAAAATAAAAGCTTTTTATTCTTTTTTTTTTTTTTTTTTTTAATATACCATTACAGAAACATCTGAGTAACATTCTCAACAGGATGGGGCAGCTCTGTGGCCCTGGGGGACAAGTGCAGGCAGCCAGCTCTGGGCTCTGCTGTGCCATGCTCCCAAGCTGCTGCTGCTCTTGGTGCACGATGCCCTGCCCCTCACCCCTGGCAGGGAGACCCAGCCCTCCTGGCATCAGGGTGTCACCTTTTTGTAGGTGATGTGGAGGTGTTGAGTCATGGGCTGCGTAGTGGTTGCCATTGAGACAGTTTGTTCGAGTTTCCCATCGGAATTCAGCCTGAATTTTCTGGTAATCTGAAAAAGGGGTAAGAAGATAAAGAATAAAATTAAGCAAACAGCATCCACAGACTAAATTTGATGCCTGTGCTTCCCACCTTCCCTTTGCCATCCTTGTGTTTGCTGTCGACACACCACAGATGGAGGAGAAGCTCACTACAGCTACGTGACTAAATGAGTTTTCCCTGCTAAAGGAAAACCTTTTCCCAAGTACTATCTCTAAGTCCCAACACCCCTCTCCATGGAGCAATGCCATGTCCTGGCACTACTCCTGGCATCACCTCAGCACAGACAGGCCAACGTCCCTGCACCAGAAGAGTGGCTCAGGGAGATGCTCTGTGCTGGCTCACGTCCCCAAGGCAGCCTTCAAAGCCACTTGGGCTCTCTGCAGGTCACCACGCTAGCCAGGGAGACCAGAGCCTGGTGAGGCCCAGGTGGCACGTGCAGGGGCTCAGTCCCAGGGCAGCAGGGAAGGGCACTGCCACCCACCAAGACTGCTGGATGGACAACATCATCCCCACACCTCCACAGAGGCAGGCTGTGAGTCTGTGCTGTGCCAAACCTCCATCTGAGGTTGCCACTTAGGAGCCAGGCAAGCAGAGCTTCAACCTGGGCTTCAGCAGCTTCCAAAGTGGAGAAGGGAGCAGCTAAGCACCCAGTGCTCAGCACAGGTTGTAGGCCTGCTCCTGGGTGTTGCTGAAGTAAAGGAGAAGTGGGACCACCTTTCTGGAACCTCAGCTCCTGTCTCTGGAGGGCATCACTCCAGCTGCCTGGCCAGCCAGGAGAAGGACCATGTAACCATGTGGATGACACCAGGGCACAACAGCTCCCTGAGTGAGCACTGTGGGAAGAAGGCAGCTTGGCATGGACCCAACACACCCAGAACTTTGGCCTTTTGGGTGACTTCAGCACAGGTTTGCTCCACATCATCCAGATCTGCTCATCTGGTGGCTACCTGCTGCTTCCACGCTGAGAACCATCCCAGGAGCAAAGTCCTGGGGACAGCAGGACAAACTGCAAGCATGATTAATTAAGGCAGTCACTTAAATCAGCCCCATTTGGAAGTTCCTACAAGGCAGAGGCTTTTGGAGATGCCTTCACTTCCAGTGAAGGTCACCCAGGGGCATGTCCACGAGCTACTGCCAGTCTGTGTGCTCTGAGACAGCATCCTGCCCATTGACACCAACACCCAACACATCCTCCTGCCAGGTAAATGACATCCACTGCTCTCCCCTGATCCACAAATCCAGGCACTTTATCACAGAAGCCAACCAGGTCAGCCAGGAACCATCTATCCATGGTAAAACTGTGCCAACTGTGCCCCATCACCTTCTCCTTCATCTGTGCAGGAACCTCCAGGGGCTGAAGTGAGGCTCATCAGATAGGAGCTCTCCAGGTTGACCTTCAAGAGCTTTCTGAAGATGGGTGACCCATGTGCCACGGGTCTCCAGTCACTGGGAAATTCCACTGATCTCCATCACCTTTCACAGATAACACAGTACCCCTGCAGGCACATCACCCAGCTCCCTCAGTACCCACATGAACTGAGGACAGTCTTGAAGTCTAAAACCATTTGAAAGTGTCCTTGTTGTCCAGATGCTCACAGGGGAACACGAGCAGGGTGTTTGGAAACAAACCCAGCCTGGGAGTGCTCCTCAGCTCCCTGTGGAGAATCTCTCAGTGCAGGAGCTCAGAGCCAGCTGCTCCTCAGAGGTGGGAAGAGTCTCCTCCAGTGCAGCTGTGGCTCAGGTCCCACCAGCACGGCCTCTAGCAGAGACAGGCCCCCAGGGATTGTTCCTCTTGTCCATGTGGGCAGCTTCCCCCAGCCCAGCCCAGCTCAGGGACAGGTCTTCCTGCCTGAGTTATGGCTCAGCC